GTTTTGTCTGATAAGGTTCCTGCTCAGACGGAGGAAACCTTTAGTGAGGGACATGAAATGTCAGTGATTTCCTTAAAGTCTAATAAAAAGGATAAACGTGTGTTTTGTCACACAAACACAGAACTCGTGTTGTGCTGACCAAAGGCCGCAGGACTTACCTGCTTTTCGTCATTAAAATGAAATCAAATGCCTTTAATTATTCTTTTGTAGAAAAGAAAAGAGGAAAAAATGTGAAGCCATTAACAGAAACATGAAAGCAGAATCCAAAGATTGTGGCTCGCAGGGCGGAGGAACATTAAATAATGAAGAATGAGACTGAAAAAAAAAAGGTTTTGTCCTTTTTTATTGCTGCTGTGTTTTTTGGAGTGTGAAACAATAATGAGAGAGGAGCTGAAATCAGACAAAGTCAAGTTCARGTGGAGCGTTTTTAAGAAGCTCTAATGTGTCGTCAGCTCAGGTCAAACTTGTCGGGTAAAAAGTTTTCTCACTTCAAGAAAATAAGCTTGCAGGCAGTTGCTGACACTCCCAATGGAGCCGAAAAACGCGGGCTGGCCAGCACGGTAAAATCTCTCCACGGGACCCCCTCCCTCACAAGGGGCTCCCACCTTTGGGCCAGGAGTGGCAGCACCCACYCATAGCTAGAGACCTTTTGCGGCCTTGCATCTAATTCTTACCTCACTACCTGCCGTATAAGACTTAWGGCAATATCCAAMCTTTGGGTYGCTTAATGAATACATGATACATTACTTATTACATTTTTACCCAGTTATCTGTACTTTCTACTCACTACAGTTTTTTAAAAAGGTAAGAAGTAGAAAGTCGTTACTCCTRTTTTATTYCGAGAATGTCTTGACTGATAAACAGAGAGCTCTCTCTTCAACCCTCTCCTGTTGAATATGAGGAGGTTCCCTTTTAAATGCKTCTCATTCAGTGCTAATTGTTTTATTAACAATATTTGTGCGTGCTTTACAATACCAGTGAAACACGAGGTGGTCTCTGGTTTTCTGCAGCCCAGTCCTTTGAAGCCGTTGCAGCTCAGAGCTGGATGTTTTACACCACATTACTCATCCGTATGCTCATAAACWAGGAAACGAGGAAGACTTGCTAAGTGAAATGAGGTGCACGCTTCTGATAAAGGCCCCCGTAGATCCACCACCGATTGCTTTGGCAAATTGGAAACTTCTGAGCGTATCGGTCTGTAGTAAAGCCCAAATGCGTGTTTGTGCTGAAGCCCCRAGGCGGCGTTGTGTACTTACACATCACAACACATCAGCACGCCGCAGACAACCTGGCTGCTGTCTTAATTAAATGAAAATGAGAAGTCTGTGCTTCAGCCTCGATAACGTCCCTCCCAGTCGAACGCCGCCGTTAGCTCCGTGGGCAGATCCTAATAAAGATGATAGTTGGACAAGAGAGCATTGTCACTGTTCATTACGCTGTCACTCAGCCGCTRTGGTCCGTTCACTCGCACACACAAGAAACAGGAAAATATCTCTTTGTTGGCACTTTTTTACCCTCCAGGAAACAAGATGTTGTTCAGGAGGCTGAATCAGGAAAATGTCAAACAAACATGGAGGAGGAGAAACATTTTGCCTGATTTGTGGAACAAAGTAAAGCTCTAATTACTATCATTTAACACAGATATCAAAGGATAGATGAGTTCACATTAAAGACCTTAAATTTTGAAATAAAGTATTTTATTGTGAGTAAATAAACTTGTAAAGTTGGTCAGCCACAAAAACACACTGATAAAACAATACATTGATGAGACAAACAGTAAAACTAATACAGCTGCATTGAAATAGTTGCTTTTTCACAATCCTCATTATATACACTATATATATATATATAATCAGATTAATCCTTTAGAAAGGTTGTGTGAAAGTTAACAGGCCAACCTTTCCATGTGGTGAGCTGGAAAAACAGACGCTGAAAAATTTATTTCATGACTGTGTGTTTGGGTCAGAGGAGTTTTGTTTCCCGGACAGAAAGTAAAATTATGCACACGTATCAAATGATGTTTAATAAAAAGTTCAATTCCTGCAGCTTCTTCTGGTGGAGAAAAAAACAATGTTGTAAATTTACAAAATAAGTGTTTTTGTGTTTGTCTGGGTTTCTGCAACGCTTTATTTAAAGCTTTAAAAAGCGTGAAAGGACTCAGTTTTAATGAGTCCAAGCTGAGAGTCTGGTGGCTGTTAATGCCTAATGACTCTCCAGTCGTACACAGACTCTGTTTATCTGCCTGGTTTTATTTTTTATTTTTTATCAGAGCTTTTGTCTGGAGTTTTAGCGCCGATTTAATCTGAACTCAGCTTAAGTGAGATTCCAGGGGAGGAACGTGCCAAGCAGAAGATTTGGAAAATGATGCAGGAATCCATCCTCTTGAATTTGTGCATGTAGCAGCCGGAAAAGCTTCTATTACAGTTATTTACAGTTTTTCAGCTTTTGTATCCGTGTGCATGAACATCTGTGAGGCTGCTTTTAGGTTGTTTCTGTTTGTTGTGTGGTAAATGAAGAAGCGGAGCCGTGTAGCGTTAAAACAATCTCTGTATGCAGAACGAGATGTTAACCGATGCAAAAAAAGAAAAGAACCTTTCTTTCCTCACAGGCGCTGCACATTTATCCGAGTTTCGGGATAATCAACAGGGTGATCAGCAACTCTGCAAGCTTGTAATTATAATTATTGGTTGTGTCGTTTCAGTAAAGATAATTAAAACGGTGCGGGAGGAAGCCACACTCACAGGTTTTAATAACAAAGGCAGAGCAGCGCTGAGGGAAAGGCGTCTCTCTGCAGCTTTTGTGCTAAATTACCAAGACGGGATGAGCCTCAACTGGTGATTAAAGGCAAATTAGCTTTTTAAAACATGTACTTTTATTCCAGTTTATGTTCTTGTGATTTAGTGTGAATCTCCAACAGCTTGACCTCCAGCTTTTAGAGCTCACCTTAACCCAACTGAACCATAAAATCGGTGCAGTGGTTTCTGAGAACACGATGGGAGATTTCTGGGCTGAAATGGATCCAAACCNACATGTATTGTTGCAGCCCTAATATAGCTGTTATTGTGTACAAAAACTAGCTGGAATGAAAACAAGCCAAAAGGATACAGGTGTAATGATTTTCTACTTCTTACATTAAAAAAATTAAATGTGAGGAGTAGAGGGTAAAAGGTCAGCTGAAAAATAATTAGTCAAGTAAAGTACAGATAAAGTGTTTGTACTTAAATACTTTACAACTCTGCTTACTTCTGAAACTGTGTTTCTTGGTCTTCATGATGCTGTTTGATCACTGATGGTGATAAATCTCTGCAGAAAACTGACAAAGTTGCTTCAGTTTTCTTCCTCAAGTGATGTGTTGTAGTTATGCAGACAGTTCGGTGCTGTGAAATACTGACAAACGTCTTTGYATAAAACAAAGAAAAAATATTAATTTCCCTTCATATCTGGAGCGGGATCAGGACAGAACTCCAGTAAGTCCAACACAACAGAACGRGCCGGTCTGAGCTGAAGTCTGGGGTGGATTATGAAAGGACTCGCCTCGAGGCACCGACACGAGGAAGAAAAGAAAAACAGCTTCCTACTGCTTCACCAGAATGAAAAAAAAAAAAAAAAAGACGCCCACACTGAAAAATACACCACCTGCTAACAAATAACACAAAATATGAAACAATTACTGGGATTTAACCCTGCAGATCTGGAGCTGTTCACAAAAATATTTAGCAAAGCAACGTTTTTCTGCTGCGGTTGCATCTCTCACCCACTAACTGTTAGTTTTTTACAAAAACTCTCCGGTAAAGTATATTTTTGGTGTTTTATACTCAGTCATTTGGAAAAACAATAAAATGATTACTAGTTATTTTATTCTGGATCTTTTTTTTTTCTAACAAACTTTTCTTGGAGCTGCGTTCTTGTGCCAAGTTGGCCCAAACCTGACTTTTCATCACTCCAAATGAAATTAGTTTGTCTTATTGCTACGATCATTTATCATGATTAATGTGCTTCTTCCGCTCTCTCCTCATGAATAACAGATCTGCACATTCATTCATGCATTTTTGTCATAATCTGGCAAACAAATACAAATAATTCCTCATTTTTTTGTTATTTCATATCAATATGTTGCTTTTTTAAAGTGTTTTTTTTTGTGATTAGTTATATAAATAAAGCTTTACTGATAAAATACAGATGCTGTTTAATTACTGATTTTTGACACAGAGAGGAGAAATCGTTTTTTTTTTTCTCCTGCAGCTCGGCTCATTTTCTCTCATAAATCTTCACATACGGCGAGCAGCTTGATGTTTGTGGATAAAAACCGAACAATGATTCGGTTGTGACAAAATAAAAGTTCCAGGGTTTATTTTTAGACGGTCGTAATTTTTATGCTAATGTCGAGGCGGTGAAGGCTGGAGGAGCTGCATAAATATCTGCACCTGTTCAGATCGTCAGGATTAAACCCTGCAGGCGTGATGAAACACACAGCTGTGTCTGACGCAGCCGAAGGATCCTGAACGTTACATCAGCTGCAGATCTTCACGCTCAGGAGGAGGAAGCAGGAACAGGTTTTTTTTGTCCCTCCTCACTGTAATATTCATAAACTGGTTTGATGAGTTTCTGATCCAGACGTGTTTAGATAGATTTTAAACCTGTGCATTAATAAAAATATGTAGAAACACATTTTTATAAGTAGGAAGAATAAGATTAAACATTTATGTCAGCCACATGAGCGTTATTGTCGTAAATAACTTTTCATGTTTAAACACAAACCGTTCTTTGTCTCGTCGCGCTGACAAACACTGAGCTCTACCTGGTATTTCCTGCGACAAAACAGCGTTTTTCCACATCCTCTCAAAAACACTGAAAATCACTAACTGTACGACTAAATATGAAATAAATACAGAAATACTAGAAAAAGTAAGAGGTTTACTCACTGATGGGTTGTGGTGCCGTCTTGAATTCTGAACGCTCCCCATTTCCCACCAGAGGGGCATTCTAGTTTAAATTTGCGACTTGTAAGTGGGAAATTCCCACTTCCCAGTACAACTAGGCTGCAGCAAAAGCAGCCAGGCAAAAATAAACATGCATTCTGGGAGATGTAGTTTATGGTGAGTGCTGCTTTAAAGCAGTTTCTTTTTAAGATATAAATACATCTTTGAATTTAGGCCACAGAAAACAGTTGTGGCGGCCACAATTTGGCCCTCGGGCCTTGAGTTTGACACTTTTATACTGAGGGTGAAAAACAGTGTTTATGTCGTGAAATGCAGTTGAAATTAGTGATCTTTGAATAAAGTTTTTCCACAATAAAGGCTCATCATTGAGTTTTAAAGTAAAATAACCTCACTCTGCTGAACAATGGACTTTTAAATTGTATAAATGATTTTATACACAATCTCATGATTGTTTTAAGATCTTCTGGGTCGTGTGTTGTGAATAACTCTGAGCTACTACCACACCAGATTTAAGCACATTCTCTATAATTTTGTATCAGTTTGTTGGTTAGTTGTGGCGGCCATCTTGAATCGACTCCAAAACTTGAGTTGTACATTTCAACCCTAATTTAAAAAGTTAAAAAAAAGTTTTCTTTTCATTTTCTCATGAGGATTTAAATAACCAAAATTAAGAACAGCTACAGAAATAGAGCGGCACATTATTACGCCAACAAGTAATTATTTTTATTTGAGCAGTTTCAGACTTCCATACACGAGGCAAAGAATGACTTTTTTTTCTGTTTTCACTGAATAAATTCCATCTTTTGTCAAAGTTTGATTGAATTAAACAAAAGACTAAAAAGAAAACTCCATAATGTTAGAATTGGTTGAGTCAATGCTTCTGTTTTCTTTTCATTTCCGCTCATAAATGTGTAAACTTTCATTGAAGCGGTGCTCTAATCCTTTTAAAATGGAGTCAAACTGAAATGTGTTTTCATYCGAGACGATATTTAAATGTGGAGAATTCGATATCATTTTATATTTTACTATTAAAACTCAACAAAGCTCATTTGTTTGCAGTGAAAAAGCGGGCCGACCCCCGTCAGAATGGGAATTTAACCGTCGGCAGAACGTGGGGAGCAAAGCTGCTTTCTGATTAAGCTTTTGATTATTTGACAGGCTTGGTTTGAGWCAGTCGATACTGAGGATGAATCTGGATTTTAATGAAGCTGTGAGGGGATCTGAGTGATCCTGCAGTCAGAAGAATCAGTGTCTGATTATCTGTCCTTCATCATATCTTTTGTTTTTAATCAGCTGAATATTTTTTGAATTTATTTTTTGTTTTTCCTCAGGAAAATCTCCAACTCCTGGCTGAGCACCGGCTGGTTCACGATGACCATCGCTCTGGAGCTCTGCGACCGGATCAACGTGTTCGGCATGGTGGCCCCGGACTTCTGCAGGTCAGAACCGTGGAGCTGATTTTAATCCACGACTTGCAGCTGAACCGAGGCGTCGCCTCTAAGAGCGTTTTTAGGCAGCCGCTTCAAAATTCATAGCAGCACAAGTGCCTGATAGGAAAGATTAAAACTGAAAAGAAAAAAAAAAAAAAAGAAATCAGGCTGATAATAGATTTCAGTGATGCAGGAGTTGTTTGTGGAATACCTAAATTCGCGGCGTGCTGGCAGACTACAAATAACACACTGAAAATGCTCCTGATGCAGAAAGAAAAGGTGAAAATCTCTGATCGCTTCAGATAAAACCTGAAGCTGTTGCACCTAAAGCAGCTAAAAGCAGAGGATTCACAGAAGGAACGCATATCGCCTGCTGCTTTTCTTATTTTATTTTAGATTCTGATCATCTTATGTTGAAAAATTACGTTTTATTTAAACTTTTAAAATGTCATCAAGAGATGTCACCCCCAGAATGTGTTGCTGGTGACTTTCGGCTACTTCTACATCAGCGTTCAGCTAAATATTAGTGAAACTGACTGAGTTGTCATCACTTTTGTGTCCGTTCACGTCGATTAGCTGGGATATTTTGCTAACAGACAAACACGGTGGAGTCTTGTGTGATGAGCGGCTCTTGGAGTGTGAAGAACTGTTGGCTACAACCAGGGCCGGCTCTAAACAACTTGGGGCCCCGGGCAAGACTTCAGGTGGTGCCCCGTCTCACTGCCATTTTACTTAAATTCACACAAATTTTAAATGTTTTCTCTTTTATATTATTTCTTATCTTTAAAAACCAGGTTGTCCAAATAAAATAGTTAACAATAAAATTCATTTGAAACAGAAAACCTGAAGTTTACCTCGTACCTGCTGAAATCATGAGGAACACCTGCTCATGTTAACCAGCAGCTGTGGAGTGAAGCAGCTCTAGGGGGGTTAGGTTTGTATTCCACTAGAAAATGTTTTAAAGATTTACACAAAACCTTGTATTTTCCAGCCATTTGAAGAACTTTTGACTAAATTTTGGAGATTAAAAAAAACATCAAATCAGTATTTTATGAAGGTAGACCACTGAAAACCAGACTTTAAACTGAACTTGTTTAGTTTTCTGGTTTCACAYGGAGCACCAGTAGTTAGTCTTGACTGCATCATCTGATGCTTTTATTGTGAAACATCCTCTGCACCATATAAAACGTCATGTAGTGTGAAATGTTTTGCCTGATGCCAAAAGATGAGATTATTTGTCGTTTAAATAKAGGCTGAAAGCTTTAGTTCAAAAGCTTCTTTTTTTGTCAGATCTGCTTCCTTCTGTCAGGCTTTTACTGATTTTGACCACCAGTTTGTGTCGAAACAGTTTGATTTTTGAAAACATTTCAGTATTTTCTTCAACTTTTAAATGTTTTATTTGGCATCAAAAAATAAGAAAATAAAAATAAAACACAACAGCTCATCAGCTGCAGGAGGAAAGGGACACTGGTTCAAGCCAGGCAGATTTAGGCTTTTTTTTTTTTGTCCAAAACATATAAAAATTCAAACGTTCAACCATTAATTCATGAACTGGAACATGCATGAAGGATGCAGCACAGAGGTGGGTTWAAAAGGTTTTCAGGATGAGATGAAGGGACGAGATATTCAATCTTTAATAAAACTGAACTGAACACTAAAATGTTTCTGCCCTGCTCTCAGATCATAAAACTGGATTTGGATCCTTCCAATTTTTTAGCACTTTTCCTCGAATCCAAACCTTAAAATACTAAAATTCTCATTTCTAAAGTCGATACTTAAACATGTTAAAATGATAAAACCGTTAAGATGYTTTTAGAACATTTCTTCTGAGACTGGTGCCAGTTATTGAGAAACAAAACACAAAAATAGAAAGTTTTTCTTCGTGTTTTTCCTCTCTTTCTAAAAATTGTMCACGTTTGCAAAACTTATACAATAAATATTTTTTCCAAATTAACTCATCACAGGGGAAAATGAGCCCAGATTGTGTTGGAAACTCGTCAAAAGTCTGATATTTTGCAGCTCCACGTCGTTGGTGTCATGTTGAACGGATGAAAAGCGGTGATTTCTGACTCTTGTTTTGCTCCAGCAGCCGGCCTCGTTAGCACGCTTTAATGATTTGATTTACAGCTCGCGCCTCGTTCGCCTCAACTCGCACTTTAACTGGAGGATTATCGAACAGGGAACACGTCTTATTAGATTACTTCATAAAAAAAAGAAAAAAAAAACTGTTCAATGTCCCGTATATCTTTGAGCTGAGCTCTGATCGATCAGGGGGATCATTTTTTATTTTGGCTCTACAGGTAAATCCAATCTGGACGGCCGTGAAAAGCCAACGCTGCTTCATTTCTTCGAGAAATTGCTCGTGGATTCTCAGCGATCCGTTCGGTTCTCATGGCAACTGATGTCTGCAGATTGTGCTGAAAGWCAACCATCTGAAGACAGAAAACRTGTTTTTCTAACTTATTGTCAGATMTGTTGTAAGATAAATGGWAAATGATGARCTGTAGCTCCTCCTGGTCAAACACAACTTYTACATTTATTACGAAACCTTTTGTTTTATCTCATTTCACTGCCAGTTTGAGCACAGAGGCTGGAGAACGTCCACATTTAACCACAAATTCCAATTAAGCCAATCTGTTTGGCAAGATATGTGAACAAAAGCCACAGTGGTTGTGTTTTTATTTATTTATTTGTTTCTTAAACACAAAAGAAATCTGCAGAGATTAATTGTTTCCCAAATCCAAAGGACTGGATTTGAAACTCCCTTCAGTCCTGCACTTGTCTGATAAATCACAGGGACATGTGGGAAGATAAATATATATAAGATCAGACAATGAATAATGTATGATGATGAACGACAGTGTGGATGTAGCAGAATAGGCAGCTGACAAAATGTTTTCTGAATATTTGCAGAAAACGTTACGACTCAAACAATCTGAAACGTCTTGACAAACTTTTAGTGTGTGTGCCTGCAGGGGAGTAACATTTGTTTCTGTGAGGTGCAGGCAAAAATCCAAAGTTTAACAAAAAGATTTATTAATTAAATAAAAASGCTGGCAGGGCAGCTCAAAAACTCWCRGGAGCAGGAACACAGAGAGCACCACACTGGCTGGGTGAAACAGCACAATGAACAGACAAACACTGAAGACAGGACACAGAATATAAAGGTCAAATAATTAGGGACATCAAGARACACCTGGAGSAGACAYAAGAGGAAACAGGTGAGCGTGGGCGGGGCTGGAGGAACGACAGCAGGGGARAGATACACAGGAGAACACAGAAACACTAGAAAACCAAGGAAAATAAATACAGATTGTGGCAGTTTCCTTTTCAAGCCAATGATCCTCGTTTGATTTAAAATGTTTCACCAGCTTCATGTGAAGAAGCTCATTGGTCACCACAGCTTCCACACATCCTCAAACATAAATAAGAGCGAAGGCTGTGAAGACCCTTCAGATGTGAAGACCCTTCATGCATCGTGTTGCAGGAGGTCTAACTGACTGGCTGCTCTTTGGTTTGAGCCCCACGTTAGCAGCATTTACTAACTTTTTCTTTCAAAATGCTCGATAGTCTTTTATAACAGAGACAGAGAATATTTTTAAAACTACAAGAATAAAGTCAAAATATTACAAGTAAAAGTCATAATAATA